GTGCCTTCTATCCCTGTGGGAGAATCAGATTGAGTTCCTACCTCTAGATTTTGTCCCTGGCCCAGTCACAGCTATGACAGGCATTTGAGGGGTGAGCTTGTGTATAGGAGCACTTTCTCTTTGCTTCTCAAATGAACAAGCTTTTATAATGTTTACGTGATTAAAGAAATATATTTGTAGAGTTCAGTTTTGAAATATATCAGCTAGGAAATCTTTTAAATATAGTCCTTTCAGGGGCTGGCCTTGTGGCACAGTAGATTAAACTCCCCTTGTGCCATGCTGGCTTGAACCTGGGCTACTCTGTGCTTCTGAACCAGCCTCCTGCCAGTGCGTCTGGGAAGCAGCAGGTGATAGCGTAGGTGCCTGGAGACTCTGCCACTGTAGCAGACCCTGCTGGCGTTTCCGGCTCCTGGATTTATCATGGGCTTGCCTGGAAGGCATTTAGCTAATGAACCAGGAGGTGGGCGTGTTTCTGTGCATTTCCTCTGTCACTTTGCCTTTCAAATAAATCAATAAATCTTAAAAAATAATCGTTTGAATGAGAAATCGTTCTTTTTTTTGTTTTTTGGACACAGTTGTGTTCTTAGATTTTGAAAGACACAATCTCTTATTATAAGGATATATATTTTATATATAGAATACATATTACATCTGTGTAATATATAGGAAATATTTGTATCTCGAAATGTATTGAACAGCAGGTTTAAACAATATTAATAGGCACATAGATTTTGCATTTCTGGGAGCCACACAAACACAGGCTGGAGTTTTGTGGAAGGGGGCACACTAGGCATGTGTCAATTCCTTCCCAAAGAAAAGGCACAGGGGGTTCTGAGCCACGGAAAACCTGTGCAAATGCGGCTTCCAAGACAGACGCTGATCTGCGTAATCTTGGCAGTATAGCAGGAGACTACAGGCAAGCCAGACCGCGGGCTTCCCCCCGCCCCCATGGCAGTGGGATGAGCAAGAAGGCTTACAATTGTGAATGCTCCCTGCTCCAGGCAGTGATATTCAAATGAGTCTGTCCAATCTTGAGTAGCATTTTCCTTCCAAAAACAGATGCTAGTACCCCAGGGCCAGATCATGGTGGGTGGGGGTTGGTTATGCCAGTCTTTCCTCAGCTCCATTGCATACAAATGCCAGTTATGACTTCATGGTCACCTTGTGGCATAAGAAATGGCTCAAGTGTGTCTAACTGATGAGTAGGTCTCACCAGGAGGGGATTATGTGTGTGAATGGGCAAGGGCCATGTGGCTTGGCACAGCTGACAAGCCAACATGATTCTTCTGGGCAAAGAAGGGGCAGGGCTCTGGTTTGCTGGACTCTTGAGGGCTGGACAGAGCCAATCAGCTTTGATCCCAGAGAAGGAGAAGCCAGAGTCTCTCTGGAGATCTGGGGCAGCCCAGCCTAGCTCGTATCCTATGCCTTAGTTCTCATCAGCCTGTAATGGTGGGCAGCTCACAGCAGGGAAAGAGCTGGTGAGGGGGAGAAGTCCTCTTTACTCTTTTTTTTTTTTTTTGGAATTAATTGACATAGTATTGAGTAAACAATATGTTAAAAATAATGCAAGTTCCGTTCTTTGAAACATCTGGGTTGAGACAGTATCAATGACAGGTTCAAAAAATAACAAACAACCAAACAAAAATTACAGGTTAAATCAAGGCAAACATGTGGTATCTAACCTTTTGGGATTCGCTCATTTCCCTTGGCATTATAGTTTCCAGTTGGGCCCATTTAGCCACAAAGAACTGCATTTTGTTTTTTTTAATAGCTGAGTAGTATTCCATGGAGTAGATGAACCAAATCTTTCTTATCCAATCTTCTGCTGATGGGCATTTCGGTTGCTTCCATGTTTTTGCAATTACTGATTGTGCTGCTATGAACATAGGGATGCATGTTGGTTTGTCGTGGAACAGGTGTTTTGGATATATTCCTAGGAGTGCTATTGCTGGGTCATATGGTATGCAGATTTTGAGTTGTTTGAGTGTTCTCCAGACTGATTTCCATAAGGGCTGTACCAATTTGCAGCTCCACCAGCAGTGGAGTAGGGTTCCCTTTTCCCTGCATCCTTGCCAGCAAGCGTCGTTGGTGTTCTTGTTTATGTGGGCCAATCTTACTGGTGTTAGGTGGTACCTCATCGATGTCTTAATTTGGATTTCCCTTATTGCCAGGGAACTGGAGCATTTTTTCATATGTTTGTTTGCCGTTTGGACTTGTTCCTTTGTGAAATGTTTGCCCATTTCCCGTGCCCATTTCTTGAGTGGCTTGTTTGTTTTGGTTAACCTCAGACGTGTTTCCAGGTATGGAGATACAACTTAAATCTTTCTTCTTTAGAGGGTCCCCTCCCACTAAGCAAAACAAGGATGTACCCTTCTCTTAAAAGCTTCCTCACTTTCTGCTGATCAGTTTTCTGTTGACTTTCAGTCTTACTGAGTTCACAAAGATAATGAGACTGTTTGTACCCATGGATTTGGGCCTTTCTAGAGAAACATGAGGTTCAGCTCCAAGTGAGTATACCCCTTACCCATGAACTTCAAACAAGACTGGCAGTAATGCAACCCCATCATGCCATATTGGGCCAAATGATGTTGGGCACAGCATTGCAAGGTTGAGCAAGCAGCTGTTAGGCAATTGTTGGAGAGCAAATTTTTAATTAGAGGGATATCATGGATCAATGTTTTTTTTTCTTTAAAAAGTATTTATTTTTGAAAGGCAGAGAGGGAGGTATAGAAAGAGAAAGGGGAAAAGAGAGAGAGAGATGTCTTCTCTTCCATTTGCTGGTTCACTTCCCAAAAGCTCCAATGGTCTAAGCTTAACCTGCTGTGTTACAATGCCAGCTCTGATCAATCTTTCTGGGTGCTGCATAGCCATAGTCTGGGGCAGTCTGTCTTAGAGTGGGTATGTTTCAGGTGCAATCTGTAACAACTCAGCTGGCACCTCTTTGCATTAGCAAAGAGGGGATTACCCTTTTTGAGGCAACCCAGCACTTTCTAATTCCCTAATCCATGTGGAGGCCCTGCCAGCCTAGGCACAGCTGCTTAGAGGACCTGTAAGAGTCTGAAAGGGCACTGCCTGGGCACTTACCCTGCTACCTTCCTGGTTGCTGTGGATGGTGAAGTGCACTAATTGAGCATCAGTAGACCCTGACATGTGGGTGAATTTGCAGGATCAATGTAGCCAGGAGTCAGTGGCTGTAATATCAGTGCCCTCATAGTGGGGATTCTGGTAGATCTTTATTGCAACCTAAGTTGGCTTTGCGATCAGATCCATACAGTGCTCATAAATCTGTCCTCAGGTCTTGGTTCAGTTGAGACCCTCTGCATATGCTGGCCAAGGTTATTTGAACTGCTGAGGGTTGTAATGGTTGCACTGAGTGGTATAAATTGATGGGAAAGTCATCTTGTATGGACCATACGAGAAGCCAGAGCTGCCCTCTTTGTCCAATCTTTTGAGATCCAAAGTACCTATTATGTGGCTTGAGATCTGTCTGGTTAGTAGCAACCAAAATGAGCCTGGGGAGAAGTGTCTGGCACCCAAGGCTATTATGGGAGTGGAATTGAATGCTCTTTCAAGATCAGGAATGGATGTTTCATACACCAGTCCCTTCGTACTTCTCATGTCACCAGACATTGTGCCCAAGGTGGTTTGGTCATTGCTATCTTACCACATTCCTGCCTAAAGATCTCCATCAGGCCTGCTTGTTAGTGATCAGTATCAGCCAATTTGTCTTTCAGATTTATGGAGGGAGGCTTGGCAACCATCGGTCAGAGCAAGCCAGGTTAAAGCCTTGGGTCCCAATGACTGGGCAAGAGTAATGCCATGGCTGGTGAACTCTGGGAACTGGCAGGGGAGAGAAGTGAGAAGAGAGCCGTGGCAGGGACAGAACCACCACTCCTGCATCTGAGATCACACAGACAGGTGGATGAGACTCCTGAAATACTTAAGAGTTCTAAAGTGTGATTTTTTTTTTGCAACAGCTATTTGACTATTGATCTTGTTTTATTTTCCATTATACAGTTTTGTAGGTGTAGAGTTTCCTCTTTTCCCTCTTGATATTGTTTACTTTAAAATCTTATGTATTTGAGAGGCTTGTAGAAGAGAGGGAGAGGAGATAGAGGGGGAAAGAGAGAAGAGGGTGAGGAGAGAATGAGCACCCTCATCGATTGATTCACTCATCCTGGGCCAAGCTGGGGCCAGAGCTAGAAATCTGGAACTTAATCCAAGTCTGCCACTTGGGTAGCAGGGACTCAAGTACTTGGACTACCACCTGCTGTCTCCCAAGGTCTGTGTTAGTAGAAAGCTTTGCGTCAGGAGATAGACCAAGATGTCAAACCCAGGTATTTCAGTGTGGAATGTGCATATCTTAACTGACATTGTAACCACTAAGCTACATGCCTGACCCTTCACTACCTTATTATTACTTGTGTTTAGTTCAGACTGTAGTTAGGATGGTTCTTTTCCCCAGTACCGATAGGAGGATCCAGATAATTTCCCATCTCAACTAAAGCAAGGCAAGCATTAACACCTCATCAATGGCTGGGATGAGCTCTTTAGCTCTATACAGTGACTTGGCAGTCATGAGAATCTGCCTCTCAGATCTAGCCCCGGGAAAATTAACCAAAGGCACCGGCTGCTGCATCTGATTTTCACCACTGCCTTTGGGCCAAGGTCCCATTTCCCCTGGTCTGTTCCCACTGCCTGCCTTTGGCAGGAGTTCATGGCAGGCCCATTTCTGCCTCTGATGAGTACCTTTGGCTGGACAACCCTATTGATCCTTGTGTAATTTTCTTGGCTAAATTCTTTTCTCCTTTATAGGTATCAGACAAGTACCACAATCTAATAACCTTCCAAGTGACTTCCCAGCTGCCCATTTTCCTTCACCAGCATTTGCCTCAAAATGTCTTTTACCTCTCTAAATGTCTCTTACATCTCTAATCCTATCTTGACTTTTGTTGCTCCAGAGGACCTGGACTAACAAAAGTAGTAAGAAGAATGGTCAAGTGCTCATTTCAGCAGCACAAACCTAACATTGGACTGATACAGAGAAAATGAGCATGCTGTCTGAACAAGGATGACACACAAATTCACCAGTCATTTCCTATTTTAATTAATTGATAATCGGTGATCCAGAAAACAGGTGGTGAGATTATTATTTGCTACTGATCCCTCTAACCATCCAGCAAGGGCGATGTCACCTTAGTTGAAAGGTGGGGCACGGAAAAACATAAGGTGGTGTGTCAAATGCTAAGGGGCTCCTTGATAGTGAACTGATAAAATGTTGTGGCACATGGGAAAGAGTTTGCCCACATGAGGATTGGTGCATTTAAGGCTATCAGGAGTAAAGTGTTCTCAAAGACGGCAGAGTTGGCTGGCTTCTGCTAAGTTGTATTGATGCCAGCAGAGGGATAATGAGAGAAGTTAAGCCGCTAATGGCTGAGTGTGTGAAGGGGAAGAGTTTCCTTGGTAACTTTCAAAGACTTTAACTTTCTGCAGTGTTGGGAGAGAACAGAGACTCTTGAATAGCAGAATTACAGAGATCCCCAGTTGTTCCTGCAGGTAAGAACACTCCTGGCCCATGTGCTATGTGACAAAGATAGCTGCCAACCTTGAGCAGGATTCAAAGCACAGAAGAACTCTAGAGCATGTGCCACAACTCTAAGGTAGATTCATACAGTCAGGCAGACCCCCATGGCTTTGGAAGTGTCTGGAAAAGATGGAGCTTAAGGCAGGCACCCAGGGGGCAGAACACAAGACAGCCGCCTCTGGGACTGGAATAACAGCCTGACAACCACTGAGGAGAAGCTTCCGTCTTTTGAGAAATAGCTATGTGAGTGTTACTGATCGTTGTTGGAAAGGATGGTTCCTGACCCTAAGTATAGAATTGTCCACTATGACTTGGGGCTTCTTGAGGCCTCCAATGGTGGGCAGCCCCGGTGGTAGCCCATGATCAGATCTTTGTATGTTACAGTTCAGTACTTGATAGGACTGGAGACCGTGAATATGCTGCATAAACTGGCAGCACAAACTGCCTATTCTTACCAAAAGATGCACCAGCATCCCTCTCCCAATCCACACTACAGCACATGAGGGTCCCTGTGCACCCAGCTGAAGGCTAAAGAATAGCCTGAGTTTACTCTGTGGAAGGACTGGTTCAGTATATGTGAGCAAGATGAGAAAGGGTGTGATGGCCATGAAAGACAATGGAGAAGAAAAATCTTCCCAATGGGTGGAGTTTCTAGTAAAGCACCTGATCATCTGCTTTGTATGGAAGAAATGGCCTGAGGTCATTTATATTTAGGTCCTGAGCAGTGGCCAATGACCTGGCTATCTGGTTAGGAACCTTTAAGGAAAACCACTGCAAGATTGGGACAGGGAGGTCTGAGATAAAGGCTTGCAGGTGGACATTTGAGAATGGGCAGAAATTGTGAAAGGCTTTATGTCATATATTACCATGTACCATGGAAGAGGCATTGAACAATCTAGTAGACAAAATGACCAGGCTAATTGAATGTGAACTGCCCTGAACACAGTGACTGCTCAGGGCAGAGGCATGTGACCAAGGGTCCCACCCATTTCACAGCAAAGGAGGTAGATGGTGAAGGCCTACAACATAGGATGTAGACAACTTGTGGGTCAATGCTTCCTGTGGTGAGGAATTGGAGAGATGCATGTTTGTGGCTACCACAGGCTTCAAGTTTTGCCCTGCACAGATCTACACTTACAGTGAGCTGAGCATCCTGCTGTGCTCTTGCTGGGATCTGTGCAGTAGGTGTGGATGACACAAAGGTGTGAAGAGAACAGCTGCTCCCAGTAGATTCCTGCAGCAGACATGCCAAAGATGCCCTATACTTGCAAAATACTGACTGCCTCTCAAGGATTCCCCATAGGCCTGTGTGACACTTGCTTAGACCTGCACTATGGTCTCAGTAGTCATTTCCTTGCTCGCTTCTCTCTTTTCCTTATCCCCTCCTTTACTTCACAAAGCATTGTAATCTGATGTTTCCTTCATCAGCTCCTTTTCCATCTTCTTTCACTGGCATCTTTTCTAATAAATCACTTGCACATATAAAAATAGGTGGTAAGATTGTAATCTCATCTTGGCAAGTGATTCTTAAAAGACTCAGACTAACTGAAATGGTTTGTATATGTGTTGTTGGGCATCTTAAGCAGAATGGAAAAATGGAAAAGACCAAAAACATGTATGCTAAGACCAAAAACATGTATGTGGCATTGGCTGCCACAAGAATGCTGAGTTGATGAAGGTTCTAGAACTGTATTTTGTAATGAATGGGTGGTCTATTAGTAAAGTTGCCATGAGGGTGAGAGGAGAGGATTTTGGTCTTATTAGTTACTGCCATTAATCTGGAATGTTTCTCAAATCTCTATCAAGAAAGGTCCTGATCAGACAGCTGCTGTTAAGGATAAGTGATACCCACAATGATAGTTAACAATTGAAGATAATAGTTATAAAAATGAATGATCACATGATATTTTACTAATGATAATGCTTAATGATGAATGGCAATTGTAAAATGGTATTATAACACAGAGGATCCTATAGTAAATCTTTAGTAAAAGTGAGGATAAACTTTTGGGCTGGTGGTTAAAATGCTAGTTATGATACTGGCATCTCATCTCAAAGTATATGGGCTCAATGCCCACCGCTGGCTCCTGACTCCAGCTTCCTGCTACTTCAGACCCTGGGAAGAAATGATGCTGGGTCATGTAACTGGGTTTCTGCCACCCACCTGGTTTGGGCTTCTGGCTCCTGACTTTGGCTCCTTGTTGGTATCTGGGGGAGTAATCAGTGGATGAGAGCTCTCTCAAACACATTAGAAAATATAATTCATGCAGTAATTAAATTATAGAAGCAATAAACATTTTCACATGGAAAGATAGTCATACAGAATCTAGAAAAAAAGAGTCTAAAATATGAGAGTTTGTTAGTGGTTTTCAGCTGCAACTTGGGGTGACTGTACACTGTTGAGCAGACGTGATTATGCCTGCTTCATTGAGAGGTGTGTATCCAGAAGAGATCATAACATGTTTCCAATAAATTTTACTCATCTCCCTTAATCTGATTCTGTACTAACTAAGAAGCATTCTGACCTTAATTAGGTTTAGAAGTATATTTTCCAGGTAAAGCCACTGCCCACATCACTCGGAATCCCATATGGGCTCCGGTGAGTATCCCAACTGCTCCACTTCTGATTCAGCTTCCTATTAATGGTCTGGAAAAAAAAACAGTGGAAGATAGCCCAAATGTTTAGACCCCTTCCACCCATGAGGGAGAACCAGATAAAGCTCCTAGCCTCTGGCTTTGGTCTCTCCTGGCTGTGGCAGTCATGTGGGGAGTGAACCAGTGGCTGGAAGATAGCTCTCTCTTTCTGTAACTCTGACTTTCAAATACATAAATAAATATTTTTTGTTTTAAGTGTATTTTCCTGCTGGCAAGAGAACATGCTGACTGGTTGATATAAATATTCTAGCCTGCTAAGCATTTATTTCCTCTCTTTAAAAGCTTGTTTAGACATTATAAAAATCATATCTGCTTATCATCAAGTAGTAATTAAAATAGCAAAAGCAAAATTCAAAGTCCACTTCTTATGCATAGCTTCTTTCCCATCCTGCTCCCTAGGAGCAACATTTGATTTTTGTTGTTGTTGTAAATTAATTGGTTTCTTCACTGGATATCTGGTACCCAAGATGTTCTCTCTATGACCTTGTTTAAAAGGAATCTTGTGAATTTGCTCAGAATGAACTAACAAAGCTGAGCTTCTGGACACACAAAACTGAGGGCCAACCTTTTCATTTAAAGTCCCTTTGTCTTCATTTTTGTTATATATATAGCAAGCATGCTTTGTAAGAAGTGTAACCTTAACCTTCCAGTCACAGAATGTGAGAGCTCCATTTGAGAGCATGTGTGTTGCTGAGTTTGCTGTATTGTATGATGTATTCTGTTCTGTGAACTACCTCCTTTGTGTATGAATTTTTAGTTAATAAGTCTTTTTACCATTCCTACTCACCTTTCACCCAAGATAAAGCAGGTCATCAGAAAAGTAACTTTAGTCCCAGTGTGAACCCAGTAGGCCCTACTTAAACAACTTTAAAATAGGAACCATGAAGATAAATCTGAAATGACGTAAAAATTGGTTCTTTCCTTGTTTCCTAAAAAGATCAGGTTCATTCTCAGACTCAAAACAATTCCTAATTGCAAAAATTATTTCCTATGGTAGATAAGTCAAGTTAGGCTATTAAGAATGTGTGAAATTAATCTCAAAAGACTTTCCTCAATGGAGAATATCTAGACCTTTTTTTGAAAATGATTTCTTATAAGGATTTAGAAAGGACATCTTGAGTACAAGGTCTCTAAAGGAAATCATTGTTTTAGGAATAGAACAAAGAGCTTACTGAAATAGTGAAGAAACTGAAGACACACATTAACTTCCCCAAATTTAAATCACAATTTTACTTAAAGAGAGAAAGACTACAGAAGTTTTAGAAAACTGATAAACTGCAATCATTTTGTAAGGCTGATTTTTGTAAATGAATTTAATAGTAAAAAAAGCTGATAAAAATTTGGAAATTTTTTAGGGGAAAACACATGATAGTGAACATTAATACAGAAATGTGACTGAAATTAATGGTAAAATGAAGAGATCTTGTCATGCAGATTAAAACTATTTTCTGCAAATGAACGCATCTCTTCTCTCCTTTCATAAAATTTTAATTATTTTTTTTCAAGTAACAAGCACTGCAGATCCACAAGAATAGTTTTTTTTTTAAAGATGTGTTTGTTGATTGGACCAGGCTGAAGCCAAAAGCCAAGAACTTGTCTAAGTCTCCCACATGGTTGGTCGGGGCTCAAGCAGTATGTTTATCATCTCCTGTGAGTTATCAAGAAGCTAGATAGGAAATGGAGCAGCTGGGGCTTGAAAATGTACTCAGATATCGTGTGCTGCTGTGGCAAGCAGTGACTCAGTCTATTGTGCCACTATACCAGCTCTTAAAAACCATTAGAACATTCATGGGGTGGACCGTTGGTCCAGTGGCTAACAGGCCAGTTGGGTTGCTTGCATTTCACATTAGAAAGTCTGAGCTGGAATCCTAGATTTTATCCTGATTCCAGCTTCCTGCTAAGGAGGCAAAAGGTGACAGCTCAAGTAAAATTAGGTCCCTACCCCAAGATGGGAAACCTGGACCAGCTGATGGGAACTTTACCTTTTTCTCTCTATTTCTCTGCCTCTCAAGTAAAAATAAACCAAGAAAACCAAAAACTCATACATTTACCTCTTTTTTTTTATTATTAAAGAAATTGTAGAATTACTTTCTAGCACATTTGTTATTCACCAATTTTCATGAAATAGAATGCTGTAAAAGGAGTTACAAAATTACATGATGGGTAGGTGTATCTTTGGGGAGAGGTTTGTGGTTTGGTAAATACTGCATTTGTTCAAAATGCAGAGCAACAGGCCTAGTGTTCACACTGGCATTTTATTCTCTAAACTTCCATTTCCCGATAGAAGGAACCAGACACAATCTGAGGCAAAATGAATGTGCTTGAAACTGCATAAGAAGAATGTGAATGTCATTTCAGTCATCAGACCCACTTGATTAGGTCGATGGGTTTGGTCATCTTCTGTTTAAGATCGATGATTGTAGCTCAAGAGTTTTTAATCCATCTGTTTTGATTTTTCCTCTCTTTAAAAAATGTAATGTTGCTCATGGATTAGGCAGAATAACAAGGTTGGGATGCAGATTTGTTGCCTTAACACTGAATTTATCACCTGCTCAGCAGAAACATCCCTCTGCCTAGGTGAAGCTATGAAGAGTTCACTGGTCTGACTGCTGTGATTCTCAGTACAGTTGCTAAGCAGAAGAATCCAAGCAATCATTGCCAGATTTTCTGCTCTGGCATGCTGGCATTGACCTTCGTATGGTCTGGAAAATTCCACTTTGAGTTTTTTGGGTCCTTGTTTTCCCATATAAAGGATTACACTTTTACCTTGCATATGAAGGATCCTTAAAAATGTACTTGGAAAGTTGTAACATGAAAAAACTATGCATGGATTTCAGATTTTCTGCATCAAAAGACATTTCTCCTATAACTACACTTTTCATAGATTTTGGGGAAATCTAGAAATAGCCCTTTCAATGTGATCTGAGTTGAGATAATGGTTTTATAGGCACAGGTGCTTTCAGTGCAAGTACTAACAAGGAGAAAGACATCATATTGGCACATATTTGTTGTTGCTGCTGTTCTTGTCAATGAGCTCATTTCCACGTCTTACAGTTCTAACTTTTTAAAGTCCTAAACATGATTTTAAAAATCACACGAATTTGATTCAGATTCCTAAAACACCACAAAATCTGCAGCACAAATGAAATAACAAAATAATCGTGACCAGATCAACTTCTGGGGCCCAGTAAAACAGAGATGATTTCTAAAAAAAAAAAAAAAAAAAAAAAGCAAAAACAAGAACCGAAACTAATTACACATATAAACCAGTTTATTAGATTGTCAGTGATACTTTGAGACAAATTCAAGTTATTTTATTTTATTTCATATAAACAGAAGAAGGGAGGAAGGTTTTAAACTTCAAGCCTTGTTCAGCATGTGTGCAGTTAGCATCCACAAAAGCACCATTGGATATGGAAGAATTAGCACCACAATTTTAGGACCTAACTGTTAACATGCATCACCGAAAAACCAGCAACATGAGAACTGAAGTGGTGTGTGGTATGGTCCGTGATGAGCAATACAAGGCAATTTATGATTTCTTTTCATACAGTACAATACAATCACAATCAATGAGAACCTTTTCAGTACAATACAGGACGAAAAACACCTTGTACCCTGTTAACACTAAAGCAGTTACAGATTTTAAAAAAATGTTTCTTGTAAGAGAGAGTGGGTTGAAATTATTCCTCCCCTCCCCTCAATTTTTAAAATTCAGAGTTATAGAGTTACATGATCTCTTAAGAAAGTATTTTCAAATCTATAGGTCTCTCTCCCTCAATGCTGACAAATGGTGATTTGAAAACGGAAAGACTTGATGAATCAAAAAAAAAAAAAGACAAAATCCTGATAGAGTCAAGAAGGATTCCAGTGTGGTAGAAGGTATACCACAGGAGATCAGTTTGAAAATGATGCCAATGCTGTTGATACTTGTCTTCCCTTCCGTGGAGGAATGCCAAGTACAGAGGGCTTGCATTCATGATGAACTTCAGTTCATTTCTTTCACCGAATGCCTTTATTCTGAAGTGTAACATGAGAGATTTATTCTTTATTCCTCAACTGTCTTTGGAGTATCCTGTTCCTTATGCTTGATTGGACAACAGTGAAAAGGGTTGATATTCTCTCTGGATTTGGGATAATTTGTGAGCTAAAGAAAAAATATTAATTTAAATTTAGCAAATATGAAATTTTAAAGGGAGTTCCACTATTTCCACAGCACAAACCCATAAGTAATATCATTGAAAACCTTTCTGTTAGAAAGCATGTAACAAACCCTCAATTTTAGTTGTGTCTAGGCCAATTTTGGCCTGTGAGAAGATACTGTATAAGAAAGGTGCAATAAGAATAGATAGATACAGGTATATTCAGATCTCAATGCATTGATGTCAAGGAAGAAATATTTTTACTCACCAAGAGAAGAATATACCTTGAAGCATCTATGCAGACACATGAATCGATCATGTATCCGCCCAATTCTAATTCTGGAATAGTGATAACAGGGTCATTTAGGAAAAAAGTACTCAATTACAGTACGGCAGCAATTGTATGTTGTATATATTTAACAGCGAAACATTTTTGAAAATAGAATTAGTACTATAAGGTAAGTTTACAATTCACCATTTCTATACTTGTAATACATGCGTTTATTTGTTTTCTGAGTTCTTAAAAATCCCACTAGGACCAACACTCTTTTGGAACAACAATCTAACATTCAACAAAACTTTCTAAGGAAAATATTTAGCATCACAGATTTGAGAAAAGTCTGTTACTCAGCATCACAAAATACTCAGTAGATCTACATTGAAGATTGTTCATGCCATGACATTAACACGCCTTTGGGTTATTATATCATATTTTAAAAAGAAAACAAAGAAACAAATCAAACAAAGACGTGGACTTCTGTCTTTGGTCTCTCCTTGGTAAGGACAGACCTCTGATAAACTTGACTCTTTTCTACTATGTAAGGATGAACTGTCTCTGAAACTGCATTTACATTTAGTAAAACATTTAAAACTAGAGAGAGAAAAATTGGTCACCACAGAGAAAGATCTAAAAGGAAGTAAAATGATGTAAAAAGTTCTTTTAAGTGTTTAAGTGTGTTTTCTTTTGAAAGTGTACTGCCCTCAAACAAACAAAAAAACAAATTTTGTTCACTTTGAAATATTCTCCTGGTGAAAAAAACATTCTTAGTAAAAGGTAGCCTATCCTTAAAAACGTCAATGTTTGACCTGAGGAGGTCGAATTTTTGAAAAAAGAAAAATTTCCATGCTTCTTGTGCTGAACTAAATCTACTTTAGAAATGGGTAATTAATTTTCTGAAGAGAAAACAGCCATACGTTGCAGTATACCCATGTTGATGATCTAAATGTGAGGATGCATTGGGCATGGCTGGTTTGAGCAAAGAATAAACAAAATGGATTTCTTTGTGCTGTAAGATTACATTTTAAAAAATGAAAAACAAAATTGAGTACAATAGGCTAGCTCAATAACTTATAATGCCTTATATTTTGGGCAACATTTCAAGACAAGGTAGTAACAATTAGAAAATACGTTTTTAAAAATAAAAACATGCAAAATCAAAAAAGCCTTCAAATTTTGCATTTTTTTTAACCTCAAATGACTGGAGACTAAGACAGTTTTGCCATTGTCACATATACTCTTCTTGCTCTTAAGCTTTATTTCTGCATTCCTTATTGGTTACATTATGACACACAATTTTCTGTTAAATTAAAATAGCTTGACTTATTATACTATAAGTAGCTTTAAAAAATCATAAATAGGATAAATTCATGAAAGGATACCAAAAAATTTAAGAGCTTTTAGACAAATCCTATACAGATGAATAGTTAGCTCAAGGTAATAAAGTGCCTTCTTTTCCAGGAAATTAATTTTTCATTAAAATATTTTAAGGCTTTATAAGAAACCCAACATTATCAGAAATTTGATAGTATATGGGAGTTTGTTATTAACTAGCATTCTTTTATAGCATTTATTTAATTTAGTCTTTGAGCTGACTGCATATTATATGGCATGTTTTTAATAACTAGGTTAAACTTATAAATTTGGAGTTTCTATTTGGAATCCATTTTGTGGAGAAAGAGAAGATGTATAATTTCTAAATTCTGTGATTTGTACATAAAACTCACACGTGACTTGTTAACAATGTTACTTCCGTGTCATACTACACAGCAGCCAATGCCCTCAAACATTTCTGCAGAATATCTAATTTCATGGCAGATGGTCACTATTTCATTCAGATTTTTATATTCTATTTTCTTACTTTAAAATGACTGTGCAGTTGTAAATGAAAAAGGCCAAAGAAAATCTAAGGTAAATTGTTTATATACAGGCACAATGAGTATCTTTTATTGCAACAGTTTATGCATATTCTGTACTGGTATCAACATCTAATGTTGAGCATTTGTGTTTATTAACATGTTGCTTCTTTTACCCATAGGTATGTAACAGTAAAACACTGGTTACCCATTACTATAATTATGTATATTTGGTAGCCTTGATCCTACAGGCTCTGGTTCTCGTCTTACCGTTTTTCTTTGGGGAACATGGATTTGTGTTGCGTATTGCTGCGTATCTGGTCACCTGGGCAGCTCCAGATTTTAGGATTTTATGACCATGTAGACATCAACTGTCCAATTTTTCATAGCCACTAAGGACTAATTAAAATGCTTGAATATTATTTTCTAAAAATTGGCAAAGTCAGGCAAAAAAAAAATTGGCCCTGATACTTAAAATACTTTTGCTGATGACCATTGGAATCATTTAAAATATTCTTTTACATTAATGGTGTTGAGAATAGGATGGTAGAGGAAAGCTAAAATTCCCTGCGAAGAATAGCTTAAATTAAATATTCCACATAACTAGAAAAACAGAAATTACCATTAAGAGAAACAACTCTAGTCTCAGAATTGTGTTTGGTTTTCAGTTTAAAGCCCAGTAAGTCCAGGGTCCTCCAAAAATTAAAATGACAGAATCATTTGGAATTGCAACACTCCTAAACCAAAGTGCCATAGATTATCAAATAGTTTTCTAAAATGCACAAGAATCTACTTTTTGCAATCTAAGTTTATATATAGTTTTACCTTTTTTCATACTAGCATGATGCAGTTTCACAAACTAAGCACAAATATCATCAGGATGAATTATAACTTTCTAAAATCAGGTTAGTGTATATGGTTTTAGCAAGGTAATATTAAGAGTCTTTTTCACTATGAAATGTAAATCAAAGTATAGCCAAAGCATTTCCATGAGACTTGACAACATGACAGTTTATTTAGGCAAATTTTAGCAGTACTCTGCTATACAATGTGAAAGAAATCCTGTGCTCATTTTTAAAAACATTTGGGTTTAGTTGTCCTGTCTTTTTCCTGTTTGACTATATATTATACTTACTTATTCTCTTCAGTCACTGAAGTGACAATATATGTAATAACCAAGTTTTAAAGATAGTGTTACATACTGAGATTTCTAGCCTTAACTTCATTTATATGAAGCATAGCAACAATATCTGACGAATGGGTCATTAATTTTCATGTTTTATCTCTTGTTTGAAATAAAAAGCATAACATGAAAATGAAAATGGATAAAGATAATATATAGAAGGACATTAGAGACCAAAGCACCAATACACGAGAAAAAAATCAAAATCATAAGCAAGTATTTGGAAGTTCTCCATATTACTGAATTAGGGAAATTAGGAAAATAATAAAAATTAAGATAGTTTTACTATGTAAAAAAATAATTGCTGGTTCTGAATGTAATGAATCAATTAGGGAGATGCCTCATTAAAGAAATGAAATGACTACCAAAATCATACAGTTAAGTAGAGTATGTAAGGTCATAATTCCTAGTGACAGGTCCTCCAGGTTCTATTATACCACAGACCAAACACCGTGGTAACAGACTGCATTTAACTAGGGTGAAAATGCTGGTAAAAACATAACTAATGTTAAAATCAATATTAATTTTAGTTATAGGATATTAAGTGACTATCCATAAAGGACTCCTTCCCTCCTTCTACAATTTGAGAATTTAAATTTTCAGTATAAAACAACCATATGAAAGCATCTGAAAGAAATTCCCAATTATATTAATTTCTTAACTTTCGAAGTTGTACAACACCATACAAATTGATATCCTAATATTCTGAGAGAATGAGCAAACTTGAAAAACCTGTGTGTAAAAAGAGGAAGGATCAGCATAATAAATGACTGATAGCAGCTGCCCTGATTCCAACAATGACTGGGCTAATCACAAAGTGGTGCGGGTTCACCCTCAGAATCTTCTAGTTTCTGAGTATGGAACTACAATCCCTTCTTGATAAGTAAGAGTCTTGAACAACTTCAGCATTTAGAAGTTAGTTGTTCGAGAAATACTTCAAGTAAAAATGGAGACACTGATGATTCCTTGTATAAATCTCCATGCTGTCTTGTGATGTTTTGTGTTTAGCTCACCTAATGCTCAAAATGCTGTAAGATGCCACAACCTCTCTTGCCAATACTCAGATATTTTCTTGGATTTGCATAAGCTGGGCATTTTTTACTGATCTGAAATAGCTTTTCTCTGGAAAGTATACAGTGTTGACACAAATACTCAATATACTTATGAGAACTATTCCTGTGGTGATACTATTTAATCTTGTTTTTTTTTCTTCTGTAAGTTAGCTCCCTTTTAGCTTTATAACTGCCATTTGCAAAATGTCTTACCATTAGTTTTAATGGTTCCTTTGTTGTGTCCTGATGCGGAAGGCTAAGCTGATAAATTGCTTAGGCAATTGGGAAGCTGCACATGACTTGTACAGGTCTCACCGACCTCTGTGCTTTGTATGCAGCTGTTTGGTCGTGCTGTATGCTGAGCATCTATTTGGGATACTCTTTGGGGCCAAAGACTAGATCTAGTTGTCTGCTGTATTATCCAGGCAGACCTAGCTGAATGTTTCACTCATGTCCTTGGCAAAACACACACACACACACACACACACTGATTTAATGAATGAGAAATCAGAGAAAATAAATAACCTCTACATATCATTCCACTTATTCTTGCTCCCTAAAAAAGGCTTTCTGAACATTTTACTTCTCCATACAACTGGGAGGAAGCTCTACTCCTCTTAAATAGTGGGGTTGCATT